ATTGCTGCCTCTGGACTGAGACGTCAGGAGAACGTTTTCTTTCCCCCTTGCCCATGCACAATTAGATAGATCTGCTAATTGCATCACCCTGGCAAGGAGAAGGCAGCAAAAGCAGAAAGGCTGTTTTCTTCACCAGTATATGCCCAAAGACCACGCTAACGATGGACGTACATACGTAAGACCCTGCCTGGGTCATGCCGTCTTACCAGGAGCAACCAGATCAAGCTTCAAAGGCGGTCCTAGAGGCACCACAGTTAACTTCTTCTGCCTCGTCTTCCAAACGGAGAGTCCGTTTCACTAAGGGGGAGAAAGAAGGAACCACCGAGGCTCGGGCCACGACCATTCACGGCTTGGATTTGTGTTTCCCAGAGACCTGGCTCGTATCTTAGACGGACCAGCTGCGACGCTTGAGTTGGAGCAGCTGATGGACGGACGCGCTTGCAGCAGCAAGGTCCCTCTGCTAGGGCTGAGCAGATTCCTCTTCTCCCCCGGTGCCGGCATTTGGGGCGACTCGCCGAGCCCCTCAGCAAATAGCGCTAAAATTCCTCCCCGTGCAAACCCGAATAAGCCCCGGCAAGCTCCAGGGAGTCGGGAAGCTTTGTGCTCCTCCGCACCCGATTTCGAAGTTATTTACGGAGCTCATCGGCCTCATTCGACTTCGTTGAGAAGGCATGCGCCGTGCAGGGTGAAGCAGCAGAACCTCAGCGCTGGGTGAGCAGCTCCGGCTCGTCGAGCCCCTCGGCTGCCCGTGCCTGAGCGGTGGGTGGGCGGCTCCGCCCCGTGGAGCCCCTCGGCTGCCTGTGCCACCCGTTTCCTCAGGCACGGGTCAGGGGTTGCCAGGGCAGGAAGAGAGGTGCGACAGGACCGCAGCTGCCTACGGCCCTGGGAGCATCCTGCTCCCATGACAACTTGGGAATTGGTGCAAAGCTTTCTGATGGGTGATGCAGGAGCAGGAGCTGAGCCCCAACATCTCTGGCTACAAAGCCTGTTTCATATTGGGCCGGGGAGCTTTCACCTGACCACGGCCCCCAGCAACTGCCTACAACTGCCCAGTCAGCAGAAGTGAACCCTCAGGAAAAAGACAGTATTACGAAAAATCAGATTCGTGTCTTTCTACAGCTCCTGTACATTCCCCTTGGGGTCCCAAAAATTCCCCCCAAGCAAGCGAACCAGCCCGCTTTCAGAGGGACAGCACGATGCAGCTAGGGAAACAAAACCTTCTTGCTGAGGCTCTGCAGCCACTCATTCTTGCTATTTCTACCCTCATCCTTCCTCCTGTCCGTATTATCTGCACAATTTTTCCTGGGCCATTAGCTCTTCAAGAGAGGAGCTACCTCCATACTCTTTGCCATGCAGAAGCACACAAGGAATATCCAAAACTTGGGCAGGGTAGGGGGGATCCTGCGTATAAACACTGTTTCTCGCATTCAAACTCTCTTAGCAGAATTCCTCATCATTTTCAAACGGGTATGCTGTGTTTTGCAAGTCACTGTAAGGTGTTTATAGGTTCTATCCTCCGACCTATTTAATGCCTCCAGCTGCTACAAAGAGACACGTTACCCACCATGAAATAAACCCAGACCCCAAGAACAGATAAGAACAGACAAAAGGGAGGCTGCAGAAATCCTCTATCTTCCCACAGAAAGTTTAATTCATTGGGAAAGAGGGAGGAACAAAGACAAAATGATTTTCTGGGTGAATTTAAGACACAGAGAAATGATTCTTCTTCAGTCACCTCCTTTGTCCCCATGTTCCCATCACACAGACGAGAAAGGTGTGTTACCCCAAAACTAACCTCGTTAACGAAAAACTAAGAAAAAACCTACACATCTTAGCAAACAAACAGCTGTCTCCATCTCCCATCTTCAGTACCCCCACGATGATGAGAAACCACCACGATGATGAGAAACCACCAAAAAAATATCTCAAGCACACAGGATGCACATTCACCAGGTGTTACTGCGGTTTTAGTACCATCACATGCCACTTCTCCAGCAGCCACCCAAACCTTTGCTTTTTCACTTACCCAGCTATCTGATAAGAATATGTACCGCGGCGCGAGGCTTGTACCTGAACTTGTAACTAACACTCTCCTGCTCCTACAGATACAACCTGTAAAAGGTAAAGCGGTTGCCAGTAAAATAAAAAAATAAAATTAAAATTAAAAAAACAAAAAACAGGAGGAGGATGGGGACGATGAGACCACTCTAACAACAGCAGATTTTGGAAGATTTGAAATCCTCCTCATACACCCTCTCCCCTCCAAAAGCTGCACCAAAATTACACTTCAGTTTCCTCCTTTCAAGGTTTATTAGACATGTTGCATCTGACTATAGGTTTGTATTCTTAATTTTACAAAGCAAGAAGGCAAAGCATATGCCTTTTTTTTTTTTAAAAAAAAAGGAATTTTTCATTTTTCTTCCTACATACGCTGGTGAAAATCACTTTTTTCCCATTGCAAGAAAGCTTTGCTCTCTCTGCCCCAGCATCGCGAGCCGAGGCCGCTTCCATGGGAGTCGGTCCCTGTCCTGGGTCTGGCCCCCTTTCCCTGGGAGCGCACCCCGGGGCGGTTTGCAGGCAGCCTGGTCCTTCCGAGGCAGAAAAAGATTCGGCGCCCCAGGGCAGCTTTTTAATCCTGCCTAACACCTCCAGGCAACAGATGCATCAAGGAGAAGCGGCTTTGTCATGCAAATGGCAGGGCGCAGGTACACGCCGCAGGACTGACACCCCAGGGGAGACCTCCACCTCCAGAGCTTGCTGCTATCGGCTGCTCCTTGCCCCCCAGCCCCAGCACGTCCCCCCGAAAAGGGGAGCCAGAGCAAACCCGCGGGGCGGCGGCTGGGCACCCGCAAAGGGGAACGGGCAGC